AAAACCATTTTCCTTTTCACAAAGAATTATTGTAAATAAATAATTTATATCTATTTCAATATCACAGAGTTCTTCAGATTTTGTTGTCATATTTTCCATCTTCTGCTAAATCACTATATACTTACGCTTACACATTTGTTTGATTTTGACATCTCTAAATCGTACTTCACAGCTTGGGGTTTCAGCTTGCTAACAACCATAGACGATGTCTTATTACAACTGATGCTTAGTCCTTTCTTCTAGCGTTCCTTTACTACCTTTGTTAGGAGTGTTAAATTCTCCAAGCCTTCCTTTCTCATTATATTTTTAAAAGAATTCAACTGTCTCTTTCTGATTTTAAGTTTACGTTTTCTTTTTGTTTCCATTTTCCATAAAATGTCGTCCATGGCATTCTCAGCATCCTTCTGTAGGACCACATTTCTTTTACCTCCAGTATTCTCTTCATCTGTGAGAATATTGTTCATTTTTCGTTACAAGAGGATACAAGAGGACAGATGTTACATAACAGTTCAGGATTCTTTGAAATTTTCCCGTTTCTTTGCTTACATTTTGGAATTCGTTATTTTTTTTTCCGATTCTCGTTCGGATTTAGGTGCCACACATTCTATCCTCCGTTAAACTATGGTCAAAAGAAATTAGCAATTCTGTTTTGGGACACAATTTCAGATAGGACGTTTCTTCCCTCTACACCGGTTTCTCGGTATTTTTCCTTGTTCTCTTCCTTGTATCTGCTTTGCCGATTCATTCCTCCTGTCACAACTGTAAGTCCAGTACGACATACCCGCGACAGAAGGTATTTATTTCTGAATAAAACAGAAAATGTGGCACAAGGCCGAAATGGGAGAGGGGGAAAAAGGACGGTCTTCTGTCTTAACTTTAACTTAGCTAGCCACAGACGCTGACCCAATCATACAAACAATATTCCTTGCACCAAAACAACACATTGTTACATACCTTTCCCACCACATCCACCATAATACCTCAATGTCTCCATGAAAATACTAACTAGTTCCCATATGTACAATTTATCGTCTGTGGGGGTGGGGAGAACATACCCGCGACAGAGATGTCTCTCATCTCCGCGATGGTCTACTTATAATGGGGAATCACCAATTACTCACCCGGATGATAGACATATTAGAAATGGTGATAAATACCGTTCATTACTGTCAAACTCTCCGCTTCAGCAAAGAGGAACCCGGACGAGGCTTTGCCGAAGGGCAAAGTTTCGTCCGGCGAGGTAGACAGGCCCTGAACCCGTTTATACGGGTTCGAAGGGAATATTTTTGGCTGAGCCTACGGGCTCGGAGAACCTATGATAAACTCGGCCACATACGACCCACGTGTGGGGGGGGGTGTTAAATATAACGGAAGATAGACTTATTAGACGTACGGGCACCTCAGAATAGAGCACCTGGATGTCCCTCCTCAATTCCATCCACCGCGCTAATATTATACACAGTTGCTAATGAACCAATTTCTTGTGGGACAACAAAGAAGAAGGGTCTCTTTTGACAGTATGACGTATTCACATTCTCTCAAATTCATCTTTCATCGAGAATAAGGCAAGTCCTGTTCACCATTTCGGCCATTCTTCTTTTGACAAATTTGAACCTGCAAAAAACAGTGTGTGAAAAAGACAGTTTTTCAATTGACGCTGCTATTATTTTAACTACAGCCAACCAATCTGGAAGAATTGTGGGCTTCTATAATAACAGAAGAGACCTAAATTTTGAAAAAGTTATTTCTGAACCTCTTTGAAGAATTAGGGCTAAAGTACATAAAAACACGAATTCTTGTACAATCACCAAAGTAAAGCAACATTCAGCCTGATCAGCACCTAGACAGGTGAGCACTTGGAAATACCAGCAACTGTAAGCTTGGAATGTATTTATAATAGGGAATCATCAATCACTCGCCCGGATGATAGACATACTAGACATACAGGCACATCAGAATAGAGCACTAACTCCTCAGTTTCATCCAACCACGCTAATATTATACACAGTTGCTAATGAACCAATTTCTTGTGGGACAACAACGAAGAAGGGTCTCTTTTGACGGAACAACATACTCACCTTCTCTCAAATCGAAGTCCTATATGTCAGATAAAGACGAACTCTCTTTTGTCGAGAATAAGGCAAGTCTTGTTCACCATTTTTGCCATTCGACTCCGGTTCTAGTTCACTATGTCTGCCACACTCCCTCCTAGTTACATGATCACACAAATAACAGCACGGATGCAGTCTTTTTTTTTTTTTTCAGGTGCACCTCCAAAGGGGAATTGTCTGAACTTCTTCCTCGGTGGAGCTCTCAAAAGAGTTATCAGAGCTGCCAAGATTATTAGTTGGATTCTCAGGGGAATCGTCAATCTCACATGGTATGGTCTCAATCAGCAACTCACTTTCAGGTGAGTGATTCTCTCCATCACTCGCCAATGGTTTTGATTCAAGAGCAGGGCGGAGATCTCTTACCTGGCACGGGGTTCCGTTGACGAATATCGAATGCTCACTGACAATATCAGTGACACACCCTTACTATGGGGTCTGCGCACTTCTCTTTGATCAGACAGATACACGCCATTGATCCCTTTGACCCGTACCCAGTAGTTGTAGATCACATTGGCAGGTGCACTTGTAGTAGATACATTGATGTACTTATAATAAGGAATGACCAATCACTTGCTCGAATGACATATAAGACATACGGGTACCTCAGAATAAAGCACTAACACATTCGGATATCCCTCCTCAATTTCATGCAACCACGCTAATATTATACACAGTTGCTAATGAACCAATTTCTTGTGGGACAACAAAGAACGGTCTCTTTTGTCGGAACGATGGACTCGCTTTCTCTCAAATCGAAGTCCTATATGTCAGATAAAGACGAACTCTCTTTCGTCGAGAATAAGGCAAGTTGTGTTCACCATTTTTGCCATTCAATTCCGATCCTGGTTCAATAGGTCCGCCATTTTTCATATTTTGAACAATTCTCAAAAACGATTCTTTTGTTCACATCAGGAATTAATTGTAAATAATTTATTTCATATTCAATTTCCAACTGAACACTTTTTTTTACTGTTCGTTTAACAACGTGATATTTTTTTTTTTTTGTACATGGGAAAATCCCCCTTAATTCACAGGTTAAGAAGAAACGGGAGCATAGCGCTAGTGATATTCGACCCGGAAATAACCGTAACAGAAAAGATACTCTGTCTCGTTGTTTTGGATGTGCGGATGGTGTAATGGGTTGCTGATCACAGAGTCGAATTCCAATCGAGTTCATTAAGTGTCACTTACGTGCGAATACCCTTTAAAAAGACATGAAGCCATTTCTTCTGCACTATGGGTTGAATAGTAGGTCTTGTATCTGGAAAAATCCTTCTTAAAAATTGTTAATGCAACATCCATTTGCCACAAAAACAAACATTATACTTGCAATCCAAAATTTTACCCTAGCGACACTAATTGCAGCTACGGCTGCAGGACATCCCTAATGGCTCACGGTGTTCTTGATCTTGTTATCCTTTTGCCGTAAATGGTGTCCAGCATAAAAGAATTGTTCGCAAATATACAACAGGTGCAAAAATGGCAATTTCTTTCTCAGGAATGGTAAGTAACCCAGATCCTTCAGATTCTAGGCAGGAATGCTCTTCAATTCTTTCTTTCGTTCTCTCTCTCCTCCCCCGCTCTCTCTCTCTCTCTCTCTCTCTCTCTCTCTCTCTCTCACGTCCCCTTCTCTCTATACTTCTCTTTTTCTGTAGTTTCTGATTTACTTGATTTTTTTTGATTTTTTCTCTCTTTCATTCTTTGTTTATTTATTTATTCATTCATTTCGTTCTTTCTTTCTTTCTTTCTTTTTCTCTCTCTCTCTCTCTCTCTCTCTCTCTCTTTATCACGCCTCCTCTCTTTCTCTCTCTCTCTCTCTCTACTTCTCCTTTTCTGTCGTTTCTGATTTACTTCATTTTTTATATCTTCTTTCTTTCTTTCGTTGTTTGTTTATTTCTTCCGTTCTTTCTTTCTTTCTTTCTTTCTTTCTCTCTCTCTCTCTCTCTCTCTGTCTTCATCACGCTCACCCACTCTCTCTCTCTCTGCGTCTGATTTTCTGTCGTTCCTGATTTACTTGATTTTTTTTATTTTTTCCGCTTTAATTCTTTCTTTCTTTCTTTCTCATCTACTCTTTTAAATATATTGTTTACCTTACTTTCATTATTTCTTTCTTTATTCCTTTCTTCTTTACAGACTGACTACCTTTTTTCTTTTTTCTTTACTCTTTTACAATATATTTTCTTTCTTTATTCATCCCTTCCTTCCTTCCTCATTTCAACTTTTCTATCTAATCTTTCACAATACGTTGTTTTTTGTATTTCTTTCTTTCGCTCTTCCCCCTCTATCATGGTCTCCCCACTCTCTGTCTCTCTCTCTGCTTCTCTCTCTCTCTCTCTCTCTCTATCTCTCTCTCTCTCTATCTATCTATCTACCCTTCTCCTTTTCTGTTGGTGATGATTTACTAGTACATTTATCTTATTTCTTCACTATTTCCAAACAATATTCTTCCGCTTTCTTTCTTGTTTTCTTTCTTTCTTTCTTTTATTCTTTCTTTCTTTCTTTCTTTCTTTCTTTCTTTCTTTCTCACTTCATCAGCCTTTCTTTCTTATCTAATCTTTTAAATATATTGTCTACTTTTTCCTTTTTTCTTTCTTTCTTTCTTTCTTTATTTCATTCTTATTTACTTTTTAGCAATGTTTTCTTTTGTTATATCTTCCTTCTTTCCTTCCTTACTTTTCAATTCTTTTACAATATATTGGTTTTTCTTTCTTTCTTTCTTTCTTTCTTTCTTTCTTTCTTTTTTCATCCCTTCTATTTTTCCTTAGTTCATTTGTTTTTTCTTCCTTATCTAATGTTTTAAAAATATCTTTTTTTCCTTTATTTTGTACTTCTCTTTCCTTCCTTCCTCCCTTCCTTACTTACTTAGTTAATTATCTATTCTTTTATAATATGTTGATTTTATTTCTTCTTTCCTTCATTCCTTTCATCCTTACTTGCTTATATCTACCTTTCTTCCTCATCTACTCGTTCACAATATTTTCTTTTCTTCTTTCTTTCTTTCTTTCTTTCTTCAGCTTTCTTTCTTTCTCCCCTGTTTACACTTTTACAATATGCTTCTTTCTTTTCTTTTCAACAAATAATCGACAAAGAAAAAACAAAAAAAAAGGAATGAAGCGTTTTTTTTTTTTGGCGAATGTGTCATAAGTCAGGGCTTATGGAAGAATAAAAGTTGTATATATCTCCTGATTATTAATATCTGACACACATTTCTCCGTCAGAATAAACGATTTCTTTTGTAAGCAACTTTGTATTTTTACAAGCACGCGCCATCTTTAATTTGGGTGCAAGCCTCATTACTCAAGTTGCTTAAATATTTTTTCTTTATATTTGTGTTGAATAGAAATGAATGACATTTCAATGATATTTTTGATCGGTATCACCCCATTCAAGGCAATAAAGCCACTAAGACACTAGGGGTTACAGCGTGTGGAAGATTTAGGAACAGAAACATTAATAATGAGCAGGAAGAGGAAAGAGAAATCAGGAGGACAGTAGATAGCGACTGACATTGTATTTAAATTTGTGCAGATTAAAGTTGGTTGGAAAGTAGGATGCCGAGAGGGAGTTCCACACGCGAGAAATCATCTGTCTATCTATCTATCTATCTATCTATCTACTAATCGGTATCACCCCAAGCAAGGCAGTAAAGCCGCTAAGACGTGAGGGGTTTCCAGGTTGGGAATGAATTAGGAACAAAAACATTAATAATGAGTAGAAAGAGAAGTGTAATCAGGAGAACAGTAGATAGCGATTGACATTACATTTAAATTTTTGCAGATTAAAGTTGGTTGTAAAGCATGGAGCCGAGAGGGAGTTCCACACGCGAGAAACCATCTATCTATCTATCTATCTATAGCCTGTTCATTATCTATCTCAGTCTTTTCGTTATATATCTTAGTCTGTTCATTATCTATCTATCTATCTATCTATCTATCTATCTATCTATCTATCTATCTATCTACTAATTGGTATCACCCAAAGCAAGGCAGTAGACACGCAAAGTGTTACAGAATGTGAAGGACTTATTGAAAATAATGTTAATGAGGAGAAAGATAAAAAGAGTAATCAGGAGGACAGTAGATAGCGATTGACATTGCATTTAAAGTTTTGCAGATTAAAGTTGACTGGAAAGCACAGAGCCGAAAGAGTGTTCCATAGCGATAATGCCAATAAAAGAAACTGTCAAAATAGAACTACACCTAGTTAGCTCAACTGTAAATTGATTAAATCTCAACACCAATCTAGTGCTGAGCTTAAATTCAAAACATCTGCGTACCATAGCTAACAGCTCATCCGAATAATTACCATGGAAGTATTTATAGAAAAGAAACAGCGAGGCAGCCTTAAAGCGGTGGAAAAGTGACTGAAGCCGATCTACCAGATCAGGACCAATAATATTCTTTTGGGGATTTTATCAAAGAACTCGAGGTAAATAGCAGGGTCACCGGAGCATATGTGGCAGCAATACAGTGATACCTTAAGTCGTTTCGAGTTACGTCATTTTCGAAGATACGTCGTTTTTTCTTAAATGTTATATAGAAAAATAAAACTCGCCTTACGTCGTTTTACTCGAGTTTACGTCGGCTGTTAAAAATATTAGAAACATCAAAACACTAAAATAACAATAAATACATATAACATCATATTTAAATAAATTTAAAAATAATATTATGTTTACTACATTTATATATCATAAAAACAAAAAATAGCATAAAGTATGTTCAGAAGATATTCTTATTTCAAATTCCTGCCGACAGGTGGCACTGATGCGTTGTTTTCCGCTCAAACACGAGTTTTGAATTCAGACTTGTTTACATCTGCACTCTGTCGTTAACGTTCTTTCAATTACATTTCAATTGTGATTGAGAATACATTTTTACCCACGGCTCCGAAGAAAAGTCCCAGTGCAAGTGCTAATGCTAGGCGTAAGGCTATATCACTGGAAAATAAGGTGGAAATTAGTTATTTTACTTAGAATATTGTACGTACATATAAATATTGTAATAGACAATGGGGAGTGCTTATTTGCGGTTTACAGTGTGGTTATTTCGACTTAAGTCGTTTTTCGACCAAAGTCGTGAGCTCTGGAGCTAATTGACGACGTAAGGTGAGGTACACCTACATTTTAAGCATGAACGAATGTTATGTAATTAGTTATTGAATAAAATATTTAATAATGGTTTCAGTAACTTTGTTTAATTTGCCTTTTTATTTTCATGGCTTATCGTTTAGTGATTACTTTCTCACTAATAGATCATATATTAAGGTATATAATTTTGTTACCAGATGAGCTTTAATTTAGATTATTTTATCGCTAATATTCATATTGGATTTTACTCTTCTCTTTATACAATATCGACAAAGTAATCAAAATTCATGACTAACAAAAATATATACCTTAATATATGATCCACTAGTGGACCAAACAGCAAGACTAGTTCTCGTCCGATCATTGAAGTTAAGCAACGTCAAGCCTAGTCAGTACCTGGATGGATGACCGCTTGGTAATTCCAGGTGCTGTATGCGTGGGTGTGGTGTAATGGATAAAGCCTCGGTATTTAAAATCAGAGAGCCGTGTTCGAATTCCAGTCTAGTTCGTTATATTCATTTGCGTGCAAATACTGTTGGGAAAGATATAAATTCAAATCTTCTCCCCGACCCAGTTATAGGTTAATTAGTGGGACTTTCATCAGTAAATCATCATTACCCCCACCACCAAAAACAAAAAATCTTACAATCTTTATACAGGGTGCGGCTGGTATTTGAGGACATACATATTTAAGATTAATACTGCTTCCCACTCACTTCCAATGCTTTTATTTTTCAGAAATCAAGAATTACAAACCCTATGATAACAAATGAAATGAAAAGACCTGCTGTGATTTTGGCATTAAAGGCTGATCATAGCAGTTTGGATATTGCACGTTTCCTCAAAGTTGCAAGATCGTTTGTCCACAAGATACGAAACGAGTTAGAAGACACTGACCGTTCCCCAATGTCTGTATCAAAAGGTAAAAGACATTCTGCACGTTCTGATAAAGTGGGAACATCCGAATTTATTCAGGAAGTCAAGCAGATAACTGATGAAAACCGGGGTCAATCAATGAGGTCAATTGCCAAAAAGCTGCATGTGTCTGAAAAAACAATTAGAAGGAGTGTTCATGAAGACATTCGATACAAGTCCTACGTGATGAAGGAGAGGTCAATTTATGCCGGAAAAAAAAGAAAACCGTTTAAACAGATCCAAAAGGCTTTTAAACTAGGTACGTCTGCTTTTTCGCGGGAAAACAGCATAGCGTAATGAAAAATGCCACAAACTAAACGAAACTAAAGTTTTATCGTCAAAATGCTTATGTTATTATTAAGATGAAAGACCAAAGTATTTTTTAATTATTTTTTGAAATTTTTTAATATTTTCTAACACGTTCGAAATTTTGGTTAAAGTCTTCTTTTGTTTACGTCATCGCGGGGACGTTAAAATAACATTGTTTTTTTGCGCTTTTTTTCTGTTGAAAACACATTGATTTGGAAATTCTTGTAAGAGTCAAGTAATTCTCCGATTTTAATGAAATTTTCAGGACTTATTCACAAATGAATGAAATTATTTTTTAAATATTACTTTTCAGAAAATTTTGGTAAAAAATATTTTTTTAAACACCCCACTTACTTATTGTCCTGAAATTTCGTTCAAAACCTTTATATTTCCTGATAAAAAATTTTTTGTTTAAAGTACGAGTCATTAGAGATGGTAAATCACCTACTTTTTTTTTCAAATTTGAGCTAATTAACTTAAAATCTGCTCTGAATTGAAAAAATAATGAATCCAATAAAACTATGATATTACTTAATTAGAAAAGCTTTTAATTGCTTTTGTAAATAAGTAATATTAAGGTCATTATTGTCTGAAGAAATAAATATTTTCTGATGAATAATTAAATTTTACAAGAATTTTTTCATTTGTTTTAAATTTTAATTATAATAATTTATAATAGTTTAAAAATCGTGTAAAACTCTGTATTAGGCTATTTCCTTGAGGTGATGTAGTAATTAAGTGGAAACAAAATTTACGAGTTCAAAATTGCAAAGTTTAATAAACTTAGTTGTGCTAATTTTTTTTTGAATAATTTTTTATGTTGTATTTTTTTTACTTAATACGTTCCTTATTTCCATGTACGGTAGACTGTAATTGCCATTATTATAAAAAGAGTTTTGTCCCTTTATTCTAATAAATAAACATAACAGTAAAACTAAAAAAAAAAAGCGTTCACTCAGATTTATAATAATTTTCATTTATGGTCATCCGTAGTAGCTGTCATCATTCGTCAATCAACACATAGATGAAATATTGGATAAAATAACAGTACCAATCGTTAATAATTGGTTGTATATTACCTTTTTATGCTATAAGTAAGTAATATTTCTTTTAAATCAGATTAATTTAATATTAAATTTTCTAATTTTACTAAAATAACGTGTCAGAATTTTTTTTAATATTTTTAAAATCGATAAATTTGTGATGTTTACAAATGTCTTAAAATTAAGAAAATGGCCGTTTTTAAGAAAATTTAAGAAATCAAAATTAAATTTGACATTCCAATGTATATCGTTTCTATTTGAAATACACCAGAATTGTTTACTTAATGGAAATAATAAATTTAACGATTAAACTTTCAATTAAAGCTCAAATGAAATCTTCAAAAATGTTTTTTTCATTTTAAAAAATTCATTTTAAATTTAGGTATCGAAACTTTATGCCGAAAAAGTGGAGATACCTATTTTAAACAAACTTAAAAATCCTTCAGAAGCTGGTGTGATTTGTTTTTTCTCAGATGAGGAAAATTTTCATCAAGATCAAAAACTTAACAGAAGAAATGACAGAGGGCTTTGTTCAGATCCTTCTGAGGTGCCAAGAGTGATGCACACAAAATTTCCTTCAAGTGTTATGGTATTGGGCGTTGTTAGCAATGAAAGACATGTTATGCCACCGCACGTTTTTCCACAAAGTCTTAGAGTAAATGCTGCTGCTTACATTAAGGCTCTAGAAACAGTTGTCAAACCCTGGATTGAAAACATATGCAACGACAGGCCTTACATATTCCAGCAAGAATCGGCTCCATCTCACAAGGCTATACGAACACAAGAATGGATAGCTGACCATTTGTACGAACACACCACACCCAACATTTGGCCTCCTAACTCTCCAAATCTCAATCCACTAGACTATTATGTGTGGAGCGTTGTTGAGAAGGAGGTTAATAAAGAGCCTCATAACACCAAAGACTCTCTTAAAGCTGCAATAGTTTGAGTAATGTCTGACATAAATAAGGACCAATTAATCAGAGCTTGCAGCCGATTTCGATTTCGTGTAGAGGCAGTTCTTGATGCTAGTGGTGGTTTTATTGAATAAAATTAAATAATAGTTAGCTAAATTTCATGTTTATTTGTTTGTAATCAAATATAATTATATTCATTTGTTCATCAAGTTTTTTTTTTACTAATCCATAAAATCTGTCCTCAAATACCCGCCGCACACAAAATATATAAAATATATTTTCTGGCTTTAAAATATTGTTTTAAAATTTGATGATAAAATAAAAGTTTAAGCTACACAGATCTCTCGATGTTTTTCATATCTGCAGTTTTGTATGCAAACGTAGACAAAGAGAATTTTAGAATGGAATTATTTTTTATTAATCCAACTGATTTTTATCGTTTTAAACGTTAAACTGATCGCTTGTCCTCCGTGATAAGGCATACTGGGTTACACGGTAGCTCTCTCTGCCCTGAGAGACGCAGGTTCGTATTCATGCTGGAGAGCGCAAATTTTTCTTTTAATAAGAATTCTCGAACATTCAATCCGGTATACAAAAATAAATATGTATGCTGTTTAATAAATGGGGCGTCTACTTAAATACGAGTATCTACTAAAAATAAAGTTTGAAGTGATAATACACACACACACACACACATATATATATATATATATATATATATATATATATATATATTGTTGTGGATTCCGAGATGAATTCGGTCTCCAATGAAGAACAAACGCAATAATTAAATATAAGAAATAAAATGTATTTACACAATCATACAAAGAGTAATACTGTTAGTAAATCCAGGAACACGGTTAGTAGCAAATACAGATAGATATATACAGTCTCGAAGTAGGACTTCCTTAGAGTCTACGTGCTTGTAACTGACTTCTACCACACTATCTCCGTTCGTATATTCTCTCTCTTTCCGACTACCCTCTTACCATCCGACTACCCTCACTGACTGTCTAACTCTGGGTATTTAACGGCAGCAGTCCAGGTACACTGGTAGAGTCCACTTATATGAAGAAAAGTGTGGACCCCATAACATATATATATATGTATATACTCGTGTAACACGCGATCTCGGCCTATCGTGAGCTGACCCCCAGATTTTCACTTATAAAAAATGATTTCTTTTATCATGTACCTCGTGTATCATGCAAGTTCCTTTTTTGAGAGACGAAATTACAACAGACTAACCTCTTTTTTCCTCTATCTCTTTATCCCATCTTCTAATTAAATAAGTTAAAAGCGTAAAAGACAATGATAAAAGTATCGTTAAGCTATACTCGTTGCATAAACGCGTACAGCCATAAACAACGGAACTAAAAAGAGCTAAACATCTTATAAACGTAAACAATGGAAAAGATACATATTCGTTATGTTTCTATTTTATGATACGATATTAATATGTAAATATTACATGCATTATTATTGGATACAGTTAAGTAAAACTATTTACATTATTCGGACTATTGTCATCATCTCTGTCGACATATTCATTACAACGTTTCGGCCGTTGTACGCTCCGGCCTTCCTCAGGTGGTTGGTATGTCGAACTGAATCCTTTATTTTGCTCACTGGGGTAGACTGTTGGCACATGGCACAGTGGATAAAGGCGTTAGATCCAGTGACAGGACCCAAAGAGTATGAGTTCAATACCCGGTTAAGGCGGTGGAGAGGGGAATTAACAGGAGATAACTGATAACTGACATCCATTAAACATGGCCGGGGAACTAGAACAGTCTACGCCAGTGAGCGAAATAGAGGGTTAGGTTCGATATTCCAACCACCTGAAGAAGGCCGGAGCATACAACGGCCGAAATGTTGTGATAAATATGGTGACAAAGATGAGGACAATAATCCGAATAATATAAATAGTGTAGATAATACCTCATCTCAGGAATATAGACAGATACTGAAAGGCCGAAAAGTTGTGATAAATATGGCGACAAAGATGAGGACAATAGTCCGAATAATGTAAATAGTGTACATAATACCTGATCTCAGAAATATAGACAGATACAGAGTTATATAAAACATCAGTTTTATCAAAACCATATTTATTTTAAATACAGCTGTAATTTCTGACTACCGTAAATATATTATTGTTTGGTCAACGGCATAGCCAGGGCCAGTAGTAGTGCTAATTTTATATCCCATGTATGATGCGAACCCCTTAAAATTCGCTTCAAGATTGAGT